TGTATTTTATACCTAGTACATCTTAATTCAGATAACCAGTGTTCAACAACCACAAATGTCCAGTGGCTACTGTATTAGATGGCACAGCTGTGAGGATTCAGACTGCAAATGTCCATGATGTGCTGAGAGGCACCCTCTCAGCTTGTATTAAAGTGTTTAAGTGACCACAGTCCACCCTTCACCTTGCCTGCAGTTCATTGTTCTTCCTAACAAAAGTGTGTCATAACTTCAATTGATCTCACCTACCTTTGCGGATTCATCTTCCTACAGCAGTTTTGTTTGGGTTATTTTCTGGAGAGGATGTTGTTTTGAGTGAAGACTTTTAGGAGGATGTGATGGTTAAGCTGAAACTTGAAGTGTGGGTAGGAATGAGCCAGGGGGTCTGAGCGATCACTGTGAACAAGGGGTGGCTGGAGTGTCCAGCTGAGAGCAAAGCAGACCTCAGATGCTGAGGGGTGTACAGGCTCTGCAGAAAAGGCTGCACTTGATTCCGAAGATAATGGGTAGTCGCCACACGTTTGTCAGTAGGCCATATGGGAGAAAGGCAAGACCAGAGACAAGAAAATTAGCGTGAAGGGAAGTGCAGGATCCAGATAAGAAATAATGAGGCCTAATCTAAAGCAATTCCTTTTTCCCTCCCTCCCTCCCTCCCTTCCTTCCTTCCATAAACACTTACTGAGGGCCCACTGTGTAGTAGTTGATGTCTTAGGCACTGGAAATAAGCAGAAAGCAAAACAGATAAAATCTCCTGTCCTCATACAACTCCAAAGTCCTGTGAGGAAAGGAGGTAAATGTGTGTAGGGTGATCCTCAGGTTTCTGATCTCACTTGATGAATGCTGGGCCCATTCTCAGATATAGAGGTTCAGGAGGCAGAACAGGTTTGGAAAGAAGGATGACGGTTTCACCTATCTTTTGACAAGTGTTCCGTGTGTTTTGGGACATTTAAGTGGATCTATGTAGCAAGCAGCTGAATATGCATAATTTGAGATTGGGAGATCTTGAAGGGATACACAGATTTGGATTTGGGAGTCATGGCATATCAATAATATTAAGTCCCTGGCAGCACATGAGGTGATCCTGGGAGGATGTGTAGAAGCAGGGGTCACAAACGCAAATGTCTACAGTGGTCAGGTGAGTTGCAAATATATGTGAAAACTGGGTCTTGTAAGAGACAGGGAAAATGCTGGGTTCATGGCTACCAGGACAGAGTGTACTCTAAGCCAGAATTGGACAACCTGTTTGCAACTGTTAGACTTTCAGAACTTCCCTCTCTGCTTCATGTGCCATTTCTTATAAAGATTCTTGGGGCAGGAAGCTAGCTGTTTATAAAAATCCACTTCTTTTGAGACACTCATTGCATTTCCCAGCTTCCTTGGCTATTATGAGTGTCATGCAACTGGCTTCTGGCCAGAGGAACATGAGCAGAAGTGGTACAATCCACTTCCTGGCCAACGTCTGAAAAAGAAGGCACGCCCCTCGTCCTTTCTCCTCCCTCTGGCTGGGTATAGATGATGAGGTCTAGGGGATTTTGGAGCCATGAGGTGGAAGGGACCAGAGTCCTTGAGTCACTGTCTAGGATAAAGCTACCTACCAACCAGGACCTGTTTTTGACTATTATGTCAGTGAAAAACAAACTGCTGTTATGTTTGAGCCATTATCTATGGTTGGCTCTGTTTGTTACTACAGCCTAGCCTAATCTATAAACTTGAGGGTAGTACAATACCTTAGATATTATTCATTTTAGTGTTCCTTATATCATAGAGGAAGACTGAGGGTCTTCTGTGCGCCAGGGGCACTCTCTGGGCACTGGAGACAAAAATATAAATAAGATAGCACATTCTGGAAAAGCTCTTAAGTCTTGTGGGGTAAACAGGCATAAGAAAAACTCACCACAACACGATGTAACCTCTGAATTAAGAGGCAGAAGAAGAGCAAGGAATCAGCTCTTCTTGGAGGAGGAAGATTCCCAGAGCATGTGATCTTTGAGCTAGCTTCTGGAGGAGTAATAGTTTTCCACTTGTGTAGGAAGAATCCTAACAAGTGGGGAAACCTTGGACAAAAGCATGGGTACATCAAGATCCAAGTGCTGTGCTGGATGAGTGAGGTGTTGACTTGCTAGAATGTAGGGTTCATTCATTTGACTTGCTAGAATGTAGGGTTCATTCATTTGCCCATTTATTTATTCAACAGATAGAGTAAACCTAGAATGTGCCAGACATTATGCTAAACGAGGATGATTCAAGAGTGAGCAAAACAGATATGATCCATAATATATCCTTGTGGAGTTTAAAATCTAGTAAGGATTGCAACTGATAACAAAGTTCTAAGGATTGTGTGTGTGAGAGGGGATGGAGGAGGGGATATCCAAGCATGTGAAGGGGTAGTTAGGCGGATGGTGGGGTCAGGTTATGAGACCCCTGGTACCATGCTGGGAAATGGAAATCCCCCATCAGTCCATCACCAAGTCCTGCCTCTCCCACCTTCCTGATAACTCTTTCTCAGGGCAACTATGCTCAGTGCAGGCCACTGTCTCCTTCTTGAGTGGGTGTGACAGTCTTCTAAAAGGCCTCTTGCACCTCACCCCCACCCCTAACCATCATCTCCAATGCAAACAGAGTGATTTTTCAAAATGAGAATTATTTTGATCACATACTCTGTGGTAAGCAGAAATCTAAGATGGCCCCATGATCTCCACCACTCTGGTGTTAACTGTTTGCTCTAGTGATTGTTATGTTGCCCAGCAAAAGGGATTTTGCAGGTACAGTTAAGGCTACTTATCATCTACTTAAATTAGGGAAATTATCCAGGTGGGTCTATCTAATGAAGTGAGTCCTTTAAAAGTAGGGATCTTTCTCCAGCATGTAGCAGAGGGGTGAAGTCACAGAGACTCAAAGCCAAGGAAGATTCAAAGGATTTGACTTTCTATTCTTGGCTTGAAGATGAAGGGGGTCATGCGGAAAGGACCTAAGACAGGCCTCCTGGACTCCAGAGTGACCCCCAGCCAACAGCCAGAAAGGAAATGGGAATTTCATTCCTATAACTGTAAGGAACTGGATTCTGCCAACAACCTGAGTGAGCTTGGAAATTGATTCTCTCCCAGAGTCTCCAAGTGAGAATTCAACCCAGATAACACCTTACCTTTGGCCTTTGGAGACCCTACGCAGAGAACCCAGCCATAACATGCTGGACTTCTGGTCTCCAAAACTGAATAAATGGGTGTTACTTTAAGCTACTACATTTGCAGTAACTTGTTACACAGCACTAGAAAACTAATCCACTCCCACTTCTGCCCTTGTTTTCTCATGCTCTGATACAACTTCTGCTGTGGACCTACCAGGTCTAAGCATTTAATCTGCATAACAGTTCTATTAGGCATGTATTTTTATTACCCCCATTTCACAGATCAGGAAACTGAGGCTCAGAGAGATGAAATACTTTTCCTAAATTCACAAAGCCAGTAGGGGACAGGACTGAGTTTTTTTGTTTTGTTTTGTTTCCTATTGGGTTAGTCTGACCTCAGAATCCACATGCAATGTCTTTTCATTGCCCTTAGCATAGGTCTAAAAACAGATGCGTGAAGTTTATTAAGACCCTTCCTGCTCTGGCTCCTGCTCACACATCCAACTTTATTCCTAGACATACCTTTCACTTAAACACCTTATAGCTCCAGTAATTGCCTTGCTCTCTTGATCCCTTGACTTTGCACCTATTCCTCCTTCTGCCTGGAGTGCTGCATACCTGCTCCGCTCTATTTTTCTTGCCTAAGATGGTCTTGCCTAGGACACCACTTCCTCTGTGAAGCCTTCCCTTGACTTTCCCAGGCTGGGTAGGATGCGACTCCAGTATTCCACGAGCACTGCATACAGTCCCTTATCAGAGCACAGAAGAACTGTGTTGGACACGTGTGCTCATCTGTGCTCTCCACCAGACCGTGAGTTCCTTGCTGACCATGACTGCAATTGGCTCATCAGCAAATCCCAAATACTGTAGTACCTGGAGCACAGAGGGCACTCAGTTAATATTTATGTGTGAATGGATACAGTATTTTGTTCAGGAGACACTGGGGAGCCATCAAGGTCTTGAAGCAAGGGAGTGACCTTATCAGAGCTGAGCTCACAAGGGCAAGCTGAGGGCAAGTCTTGCACACAAGGGACCATTCTCACCAACAGCTGGGGATGACAAAAAGTTCGTTTGCATTGTGGTCTTGGATTTCTTGAGCTGTGAAACTTCGCTCTTACCTCTTCTTGACCACATCTGGATACTAGATAATGCCAGAAACTGTCACAGTGATGACTAGGTTTCTCCTTAGGGAGGTGGGACATGGAAAAGAGCTTGTGACTTGGGTTTGGGCCCAGAACTCCCACTAGAATCAGGTGTCCCCCTGCCAAGAAGGCTGTGTGAAGCCAAGGCGATGTGAGAAGCCAGACACGACCATGAGGGGAACAGGGCGCAGTTTCTGAATGGCCCCTTAAGCCTAGAACTTTATCTATTTACACTTGCTGCCCCATCTTGTGCTTCTTAATATGTGCAAATACTGCTTCCTGACGAAGCGGACCGTAAGTCCTTCCACGTTAAACGCGGTGCTTCCAGCTTCCAGCTGGAGACTCTCTTGTTATAACGTTGCGTGTCTTGGTCTCTCTGTGCGCGGGGCACTCCCCCGCCCAGCCCAGACGACGCTGTCCGGAAGGGTCGGGAAACGCGTCCTGGAGCGCCTGGAAAGATAAGAAAGTCAAATCCTTATGCCTCCTGCTAGCTCTAGACACAAGGAGAGGACCAGAGCTGATTCCCGCCTAGGCGCGGTATCCAGGCACTGCCGCGAAGAGGTCCCTGAGCCCTCCCTTAGCGGAAGCGCAGCAAAGCCACCAGTCTGCTGCTTGGGCCGAGATTCCCCAGGCCCCCAGCGCCGGAGAGCGGAGGCCTGGGCGCAAGGGGCGCGGCTACCCTGAGAGGGGCGGGTCTGGGCGCCGCGCGTCCCACGCTCCGGCCGCAGCTCGGGTGCTCGGGGCGGGAGGGGGAGGAGCCACGTGGGGAGGAGCAAAATCCGGAGGCCCTGGGAACCATGGGCAGAGTCAGACCGGCGGGAGCCGGGGCCCGGGCGCGCTGCCCTGGGAGCGTGCGTCGTCTGGGCCGAGCACAGCAGCAGCAGTTCCAACCCGCGCCGGCGCGTGCCTTCCGTGCTCACCAGGGGAGAAGGACCAGTGCTGACCCGGCGAGGGTCCCGGACTCCTTTTCTCTCCCAGAGCTTCCGGGCTGCACGCTGTCCCGCCACCCCAGCCGGGCCCGCCCCGACCCGGCACCTGCGTCCCGATTGCGCCATGGATCCTTCGGAGAAAAAGATTTCAGTGTGGATCTGCCAGGAGGAGAAGCTAGTATCTGGCCTCTCCCGCCGCACAACTTGCTCGGACGTGGTGCGGGTACTGTTAGAAGACGGCTGCCAGCGGCGCAGGAGGCAGCGGCGGGGCCGGCGGCGGGGGGCGACCTGTAACTCGCCAGGCCCAGGGGAGCTGCCAGAAGCCCTAGACGAGGACGACGAGGATGGGGACGAGGTGCTGCCCCAGGGCATGCTTTGCGGGACCCCACAGTGCTACTGCATCGTGGAGAAATGGCGGGGCTTTGAGCGCATCCTGCCCAACAAGACGCGAATATTGCGCCTCTGGGCGGCTTGGGGCGACGAGCAAGAGAATGTACGCTTCGTGCTGGTGCGCAGCGAGGCGTCGCTGCCCAACGCAGGTCCCCGCAGCGCTGAGGCGCGCGTCGTGCTCAGTCGCGAGCGCCCCTGCTCGGCCCGGGGGGTCCCGGCTAGGCCCAGCCTGGCTCTGACCCAGGAGAAGCAGCGGCGGGTGGTGCGTAAGGCTTTCCGCAAACTGGCCAAGCTCAACCGTAGGCGCCAGCAGCAGCCGTCCTCGCCGTGTTCATCCACCTCATCGTCCACCGCCTCGTCGTGCTCGTCGTCGCCGCGGGCCACCGAGAGCGCGTCTGTGGAGCGCATGGAGACGCTGGTGCATTTGGTGCTCTCCCAGGACCACACCATCCGTCAGCAGGTGCAGCGGCTCCGGGAGCTGGACCGTGAGATTGATCGCTACGAGGCCAAGGTGCACCTGGATCGCATGCGGCGGCACGGAGTCAACTACGTGCAGGACACTTACTTGGTGGGTGCAGGCATCGAGCTCGACGGGCCCATCCCGGGAGAAGAGCCGGAGGCGGCGGCGGCAGCGCCCCTGAATGGCGAGGCGCAGGCGGCCGCGCTGGAGGAGCTGGCCCGGCGATGCGACGACCTGCTGCGGCTGCAGGAGCAGCGGGCCCAGCAGGAGGAGTTGCTCGAGCGCCTCTCAGCCGAGGTTCAGGAGGAGCTGAACCAGAGGTGGATGCGGAGGCGCCAGGAGGAGCTCACGGCGCTGGAGGGACCCCCGGAGGCTGATGGCGGCCCCGACGGCGAGCTGCTGCTGGAGCAGGAGCGGGTCAGGACGCAGCTCAGCACGAGCCTCTACATTGGGCTCCGGCTCAACACGGACCTGGAGGCCGTCAAGTCGGACTTGGATTACAGCCAGCAGCAGTGGGACAGCAAGGAGCGCGAGCTTCAGGGCCTTCTCCAGACTTTGCACACATTGGAGCTGACCATAGCGCCGGATGGGACTCCGGGATCCAGCGCACCGTCGCGGGAGCCCCGGGCTCAGGCCTGCGCCGAGGTGTGGGTGGACCAGGCCCGCGGACTGGCCAAGAGCTGCCCTGGCAACGACGAGGACTCGGACACCGGGCTGAGTTCTATGCACAGCCAGGACTCGGACTCGGTGCCCGTGTGCGAATCCCTTGTGTAAGAGGAGCTGGACGGGAGTGGGAGACCAACGCTTCTCCAGTCCTTGCAGAAGGCACTGGCTTGGCCGGCTCAGCGACTTGAAACAAGGCTGGGGATGGTTTCTCGGAGCTCCTGACCCGCAGCAGCTCTCCAGCTGGACCGGCGGAGGGCTGGGGATGCCTGCCCGGCAGCGGGGCCCCTCTGGCTCTGGAATGAGTGTGGAGCAGGGTGCGGGATGAGGAAGCCGGGTCTCCAACCCAAGCTCTTTTAGGGGAAGGAGGAGGGAAGAGGTGAGAACCCCTTATATTGGAAAACAAACGCCCCTGGGAAATTGACGTGGTCCAAGCCCATTTTCAAAACAAGAAAAAAGTATTATGGAGATTTCACCAATCTTCTGCATGGGAAGGACTGATGGCAGCTAGAACTCCAGTTTGTGGCATAAAGTGCTTTTAAAAGAAACACTTGGATGAAAAGGACATTCCTTGAATGTTAATTGTGACTGTGAACGTGTTAAAACTAGCCAAAGAGGACGCCCTGGTGTTGGTCTCAGCCTTACATCTATCTTTGATAAAGCCCATAGGCACCAAAATCCTGGCGGTTTACATTTCTGCAGATTTGGGAATTACCCATCTGCTAAGCTGCTGGCCTTATGTTTTCTTTCAAAGGATGAACTAAAGTCTAACCCTGTATTTCCTCCTAGCAAATACAGTGTTATGTTAAAATGGGATCCTTTGTCTAAAATAGCCTTTCATTATTACAAAAGCCAAACATAACTTTTGATATATAGAATCCTGGCAGACATGTCCCTGGTTAAAATTTCTAGCCCTTTGGGATTTTCTTCTGCAAAGGTCTGTGTGTTGTCCTGTCATTCATATTGGCACTTTACTCCATCACTGCTACTTCAGAAAAACAGAAAAGTTGCAGAATTCAAGTTAAGTACAACTAAATTTGCTATTTAATGAGCACTGTGGTTGAAGCAAAGACTTCAAAGCAAAGATCTTTGTTAGTGTTCAGCTTTTGAACTAAGCTATATGATTAAAACCAACCATGACCTTGACAAATTTTATCTTGACAGTCTAACTTCAGTATCTTTGGTCAGAGATTAATTAGTTACTTGTCCAAACTTAAACTGAGGTAGTGTGATTATCAGGGCTTACTAGATAAAGCCTGAAAAGAAAGTATAAAACAATCTAATAGTTGACCTCGGGTGAACAAATTGATTAACAACAGCACGTAGCCATAGATAAAAGCATATAAAAGCAAGCTAAAGACTTGACTTGAATTACTCTTGTTTGGCATATGTCTTTGCACACCCCAGGAGATACAAGTAACAATACCTCTCTTAATAGCTGGTGGCAGAGTCCTGGTGGGGACTCAGTGTAATTAATTTTTCCAGTTATTTTAATGAAAACTTACCAATTGTAGCTAGTCATTGCCCCTGTGGAAGGAGCCTGTTGGCCATGTTCCCTCTGGAGCTCAGTACTTCTGAGGAATGTGGGATCTAATCTGTCCTGGGGAAGTATTAACAATGGGGTATGTGTAAACTGCCAGCCTGGTGCAGAGCTTGGTATCAACATAACCATGGAGGGGCTGGCTCTAGTTAAACACTACATGTAAAGATAACTTAAGAGGTCCTGCTTTATAGAGAAGTTTCTTCTCCTGGAGGGATTCTGTTTGCTTGTTGCTAATGGAGACCTGCCCACCTGACCTCCTCCAACCATTTGAGCTATCACCTTTTTAGAGACAGTCTTCCCCCCACTCCCCACTGCCATGCTTTTATAATCCATGTGGATTTTTTCATATTTTCGAGTAAAATGGGAATTGAAAGGCTGTTTTCTTAACTGATATTTCCAAAAGCTATTAACTGGCATAATTATAGTTTTTTGTTTCATCTGATGCAGAAAACATCTAAGCATTTGGTCTTGAGCATGATTAAAATGAGGAAGGAACCAAAAGAAACCCACTGTCCCTAGACAATCATTTGATCCAATAAACACAAACCTATTGATAGTTTTCCTTTTGAGGCAGAGGTAAAATCCTTGTTACAGTGTGACAAATGCTGCTGTCTGAATGGTTTATGCTGGCAATGGGCTGACCTGGTGGTTTTAAAATTGTTGTGCTTTTTCCCCCCAGGGTGGTAGGGGAGGTGGTTCTTGGACGTTTATTAACTCAAAAGAGAACACAGAAGTTGGCAGAACAGGACTGCCTGGCTGAAAGGGGCTGTTTTTCTTTTCACTATTATTATTTTAAACTTTGACAGGCTGCTGATGTCAGCAAATAGGCCTGAAGCCTGTAAAGCAAATAAACCACTTCACAGGGAGAAGGTGCGTTGGGTTTTCTGGTGCCCTTTTTCCAGAACCTTCCGGCCCTGGCCATCTGAAGCTGCTTCTCCAGTCAACTCTTCAGGCAGTGAGGAGACTTTGTTTTTAACAAAGGGTGGCCTAGTCTGCCCATTTTTTCTTTCATCCAAATCAGTTAAATCCCCCAAACCCACACTCAGTGTGGGTAGGAGAAAGAACAGGGGGAAAAAAAGAAAGGAGACAATAGTTCTTTTTATTAAGAGCTTTTTCCAAGTCTGACAAAGGTGAAATATGGTTATAAAAAGCACCAAAATAGTGCCTGTGCCTAGAAAGTGCCTAATAAATGCTTTATATTTAAAACACTTTCGTTCACTTTTTTCATACTCATCATGGCAGCAAGAATGCAAATGAATGCATATCAGTGAATGCACCAGACCAAGATTTCTTGCCCAGGGGAAAAGTAACTCTTCTGTTCTCTAAACCTAACAGAAATCCTGGGGAGGGACGAGCAAGTGCATGGAGAGTATGAAACTGAGTAGGTGCCTCACCAACCAGCCTCATCATTTTTTTAGAAGTTGATAGAATTTATTGTATCTTTGATGTTAATTATCCCATTCTGTGCCATCTCCCCAAACAGAAAAGTTTCATTTGGCATCTCTACCTGTTCACTTATAAAATGGTGATGATGGTGGTGATGATAATGATTGGTTAATTAGAGAGGTTATATACTATAATCCTAATGATGGACCTGAAAATAACATAAGTAAAAAGAAAGATGTCACTCAAAATCCTGTCACCAAAAGCTTATCACTGCCAAAATTTGGCATATTTCCCTTCTAGACCTATTGAGTTGTGAAGATGTCATATTTTGCTTCTTTTTTAAAAAATACAATTTTAATGAACGTATGTATGTGTGTGTATATGGAACCTTGTAAGCGGTTCCATCCATCTAGTGGGCGCACTGTAGTCATATGACTGATGAGTGTTCTCATGTTTTTAGGTTGTTCCCAATATTTTTTTTACTATTATAAAATAATACTGATCTGCTTCTTTGTGCACATGTCCGCTTCCCTAATTAACCTCCTCAGAAGACACATTCTCAGAAAGAGAATTCCAGCTCAAAAAGTACATTTAAAGGCTTGATACTTAATTGCCAAACTGCTTTTCAAAATAATTGTTCTGATTGTAATCCGCTGTGCATGACAGTGCCTGTTTCACCATGCTTTGGCTTTCATTAGATATTACATTTGTTAAGAAAATATTTTGATCACAATTAATTAGTGAATTCTTTGTGGTCCCAAGAACCCACGGCTGGTAACCACCGACTTAAGATATCCTTACAACAACAGAAAGGGCTGGCCAATGTTATTTTCAGGTCCAGAAGTGTTAGGAGGACATGGTGTTTTCTCTCCCTCCGTTTTCCTTGCCTTCCCTGAGCACTGCTTAGTAATACCAATCTTGTCTCCTATCCTAGCTGGCCAACAGTTTGTCGGAGTAGGAAGGGAAAATCTCCATGTAAGTGAGTTTATGGTGATTGACGAACAGGAGAACCAAATTTAGAAAATATTCGTTATCTTTTTTCATCTTGAGTCTAGTGGAAAAGGTTGTTCTTGGAAGATGATGTCATGAAACATATTTTATTTTGTGCTTCTCACCACTCACCCCTATAAAAAATTAAGATAAAATGAATAATAAGCTCACTTCTTTATGAATAGCCTCTAATGAATGGTTTAGATTTTTCTAGGAATTTCTTTCTACTTAGGATACTACACCTGAATGTGTCCCTAAATTCTTGAAAGTTTGATCATGATAATTTGTGAAGTTTCCAATGTGAATATGTGAAATGTGTTCTCCTAAGCAGAAAGGAAAGAGGGAGGAGAAGGAACTCTCTTTTGTTGAGTACTTTCCAAATGCTAGAGCCTCATGCTGAGTATTTTCACGTGCATTTTCTCTGCATTCATCTTGTGAGATAGAACAGTTTAACCTCCACTCTTTTACAAATAAGGAAACTAAGCCCACCAGCTGGTAAGTGGCAGATGCAGGATTCTTACCCAAGCCTGCCTCTAAAACCAGTGCCCATTTTACTATGTCACACCAGGCACATTATACCCACGATGTGTTTGGCACACCCAGAAAAAAGATTCCTCACAAGTCCCAGAGTGTTGGTGTTGGAAGGGCCTCAGAGATGATCAAGTCTTGCCCAAGTATTTCCACCAGGGAGGTGGAGTGATTTTCTCAAAATAAGAGTGCCTGCTATTTACCAGGTGAGGATTTAGGAAAAGAGAAAGGGGGTGAAAGTCCTATGTAAATATCTGGGTATCTGTCTGTGAGGAGTGAAGTCTTTGCCATGAAAAGAACTGCTCACAAACAATGTTCTATGTATCCACATGGAGGTTTTGACTGAAAGCCCCAAGCCACAGGTGCGTAGTCAGCAACGTGGATCCTTGGCCATCGGAGCAGACGGCTGGGCACTAGTCCCAGTCACATCTGGAAAGTGGCCCCAGCCATGGCTGTGCTGGAGCTGTCCCCAGAACTTTTAACCAGGCCTTATCCCCTGGGGATGGGAGGATCAGGGAAGGGGCCAGGGAGGGAGATCTTCCAAGGACTCTTATGCCTCTGGAGGTAGGCAAGGTGGGCACAGGGTAGAAGGTAGGACGTCACTGCCCACACCGACTCCACTGCACATGTGGAGACTTGGCAGGGAGGGCTTTGAAGGACAGCTGTCCCAGCCTCTGCCCCTCTTTCATCCATTCTCATACAAATATTCCTGATTGAGACACTGCCAGGATTCCCCATAGCTTTCAGGATAAAATCTACATTTGTTAGCAGAATTTATAAGGTTGTTAATTATCCACTCTAAGACCCCTCTCTGAGGTCCACCCTCCCCTGCCTTAAGACTGCATAATTGAATGGATCCGATTTCTTCACTTAGTTCATGCTGCCATCCTCCATTTGTGCAAGGACCCTCTGCTATCTCATTTTATTTTACTTCGTGTTCTCCTTCCTTCTGCATTCCCATTCCTATTTCTCTTCTTTCTCCCAACATGGGCAACTATTCCAGTGTTTTTAATCTATGACCTTCCAAGTCATCTTGCATATTTAGGGCTATCATACCGCACACCTCCAGGGGGCACCATTCATACTGTATTCTGGAATTGTGCTCCAGAGGGCACCATTCACATAGGAAACTGTGTAAATAGTAGCCCTAAAGTTGAGCAATGTGCTGGCACAATCCATTTGCTCATGTATGTATTAGTATCCTTGAAGAGTAGTTGAATGATCTGTGTGCTTATGTTTAATATACATGACCTTTATTGGGCTATTAAGCTCATTATATATCCTTTTTTTACACAGCATTATGTTTGTGTGAACACTGAACATTGCAATACTAAATCTAGTTCATTATTTTCTGACCTATATGGCATTTCATCATTATAATTTATACATTACCTTAGTGAGGGACACATAGGTTGTAATCAGTTCCCTGCTACCTTGAACAGTGTTGCAGTGAATACAGGCAGAAATCAGTGCCTGTTGAGAATTTGAGATATGAAACCCAGAAGCTGGAGTGCTGAACTGCTTGATGGTTTTCCTGAATGGCTACACCAGGTAGGCTCTTACTAGTGATGGAGATTCCTATTTTCCCCATAGCATCACCAGCACTTGATATTATCCAACTTTCTACTGTTGCTTTTATTGACAAATGGCTGTTTGGACTTCCTTACTCTGCCATTCCCACTTATGTCACTTATCGGAATTTTTTTTCTCTTTTCCTTCTTTCATTGCATAGACAGAATTTTCTTTGGCTGATTTCAAAGTTGTACATCTAATTTTGCTGTTTTTCCAAAATTACCAAGAGTCATACTTATGCTTATTTTTCCTGTTCAATTTATAAACTTATCAAATCTGTGCTTGCCCCCAAGCAAGACAAGAATCTTAACACACTATTCTCACTTCTCTGATGTTTCCCTGTTTATTTTGGTATCATCTGTAATTTCAGTCATAGAAAATATTATTTATCTATTAATAACTTTTCTCATTATATTTTATTGGGATCATTAAATGTATACATGATCATGAGCAGAATTGATATCTTTATGCTGAGTCATTCTATCCAAGAATAATATAGTACTAAAGTACTATAAATCACCTCAAAATTCAGTGTGGCTTAAAATAATAACAATTTATTCTCTTTCATGCATCTGTGAGTCAGCTGGGAGTTAGATGATTCAGGCTAGGCTCAACTGAACTTGGCTGTAATCTGTGGGTTGGGCTGAGGCCTGCTTCATGTGTCTGTAATCCTTCTTGGACCAGAGGCATAGAACTTTCCCTAAGTTCCTTTGGAACTGTTACAGAGGCATTAGCCTAGACTTCTTTTTAAATCTACTTCTGTGGGCCCTGGCTTGCTCAACCCAGGTTAACAAACAAATATTGAATGCCTATTATGTACCAGCCTTAGGGTTTGGGCCTGCAAAAGCAGGATTAGTAAAACAGATAGCATTAAATCATTAAACATACTCTTTATGACACTGATTTGGGGATTTTTAATTGATCTAAGTCTTTTGGATTCATGCTTTTTAGACAGTGATTCCACTTTTAGTTACCTACAGAATATTCACACAAAGGGGCAAGGATGGACATTTCTGATGTTCATTGCAACAATACCCACCAGCTGGTAAGTGGCAGATGCAGGATTCTTACCCAAGCCTGCCTCTAAAACCAGTGCCCATTTTACTATGTCACACCAGGCACATTATACCCACGATGTGTTTGGCACACCCAGAAAAAAGATTCCTCACAAGTCCCAGAGTGTTGGTGTTGGAAGGGCCTCAGAGATGATCAAGTCTTGCCCAAGTATTTCCACCAGGGAGGTGGAGTGATTTTCTCAAAATAAGAGTGCCTGCTATTTACCAGGTGAGGATTTAGGAAAAGAGAAAGGGGGTGAAAGTCCTATGTAAATATCTGGGTATCTGTCTGTGAGGAGTGAAGTCTTTGCCATGAAAAGAACTGCTCACAAACAATGTTCTATGTATCCACATGGAGGTTTTGACTGAAAGCCCCAAGCCACAGGTGCGTAGTCAGCAACGTGGATCCTTGGCCATCGGAGCAGACGGCTGGGCACTAGTCCCAGTCACATCTGGAAAGTGGCCCCAGCCATGGCTGTGCTGGAGCTGTCCCCAGAACTTTTAACCAGGCCTTATCCCCTGGGGATGGGAGGATCAGGGAAGGGGCCAGGGAGGGAGATCTTCCAAGGACTCTTATGCCTCTGGAGGTAGGCAAGGTGGGCACAGGGTAGAAGGTAGGACGTCACTGCCCACACCGACTCCACTGCACATGTGGAGACTTGGCAGGGAGGGCTTTG